CTGGTCCCATAGGTCGGTCATAGCAGAATAAAATTCTTGAATAGTCATATTTTTCTGTTGAAGAGCGCGGATATCAATCTCTAATTGGTATTGTTTTGCGAAATTAGACTGTGTAAACAGTCTTGCCAGATGCTCCGAAACCTACTTGGCAGTCTCATATTTTGCTAGTTGACTGCCAATCAAATGCACGACTGAATTATTAATCCAGGTAATAATGTTTGCATTATTTGCTTCCCAAGCATCCAATTTCGCTGCATAATCTGTAGCCTTTTGATTTGTAGGTCTAACAAAAGTTCCTGTAACGTAACCCCACATCTTTTGACCCTTCAAAAAATTCTTCATCACATAACTCCAGTATGAATAATTTTCTCTGTCTAATTGCACGCTAATAGACTGAAGAGAATTGTCTCTACCTCCTGCCATCACGTTAAATAATAATAATAATAATAATAAGCACTCACAGTTGTTGAAGCAAACTCCCAAAATTGACTGCAAAACGAAATTGCTGCAATTTTTTTTTCCTTCAGTCCGTGTGTATGGCCTTGGTGAAAACCAAATAGCGAAACCCGCAGAATAAACCAAGAGCAACCGAACTCCAAAGATTGGCAAGAATCCCTAAGCCACAACAAACTCCAAAAAAAAAAAAAAACAACGGAAGGCAACCTTTTCTTTTCTTCGCTTGTGTCCTTTTGCAACGATTAAACTTCAAAAAAGTAGCACGAAATTCTAGGCTTCCTATCGAACTTTGCACGCAGCTCCTTATGCAGACCTAGAACAGAAGAAATCAATTAAGCAAAATTCATTCCCAAAGAGCCGTTTGGCTCTTATACCATGTTAAACAAATTGGGAAAAAAAGGGCTAGGTTTCTTATTGATTTTTATGAATTCAAAAAATACACCAGAACATAAGGTTTATATAGACTTGCAAATTAAATGTAAAAGACCAAACTACTTTTAATAAACATAATAATAAAATAATAACTAACCTTTGTCACACCACGTCATTAAATTTTCATTTTAGTGATAAAAAACATAACTATTAAAAATAAGTCATATATATATATATGCTATTTACTTGTTAAATTCATAATTAATATGTAGGTGGAATAAAGCGTCTACGTACATAGAATTTTGGTTCTAGGGGTAATGAAAAATCACGAGTATTGAGAATAATAATGTAACTGACAACTTTTATACTTATAATGCAGTCTAGCTAGCATACTCTAGAAGGCTTTCATTAGCACCTACATATATAATATCTAATCTAATTCTGAATTTCATAAAATAAAAAAAAATCTAACTAATTGTGAACACACCAAAAACGCCATTATATATATATATATATATATATTATGCGTGCTGTCTATTTCCAGACATATTCAGGGGAAACAAACGAACTCATGAAGAAAACTATCAGAATGATATGTTTGCAGCAGAAGAAAGAAAGTAAGGAATATAATATTATCGATGAATAATAGCATAACTGACCAGATCACAGACAACTACACCGAAAGTTCTTCATACTACATCCGTTTTGCTTTGCAGAATTGCAAGAATGCTCACAGAAAGCTTAAAACTCAAGTGCCAATAACACATTACAAACACAGAAAACCACCTTTGATCAGATATAATTACCGCCTTTGAGCACACAAATATGACCTTTCAGAAAAAAAAAATGCAAAAAAGAGAAGTATTGCAATTTGTAAAGCGCTAAAGATAACATACCTAAGTAGATAGAAAGCTACTTAAAACAGAAGCAAATAAGGTATTATATACACAAGCAAACCACCTTTGAGATTACGTCAAGAACGCACAAAGAAAAGAAGTTTTGCAATTTGCGGAGGGCTTTCTTAGGCTAGAAGAGTAGTGAAACTCTAGCCAAAAAGAAAGTCACCTAGCGAAAGCATTTGCTTTCGGTGAAAATGGGATCCAATAATTAGTCTCTTTGCTGTTTGTATCCGCGAGTCTAGTCACATGCTAGGACACATCACTAATAAGTGGGCTCGGTAAACCACTTGTTCATTTTGCTTTTTCAATTTGGAATTTGTCACGTCCTTTCTTAACCCAAAATATTACATTTTATGCATATTATAAATTTGGTACTTCGAGACTTGAAATACGTATGAGATATGTTTTTTTAAAGCGTAATTTTGCTCCTTTCCGGTTGATATTGCTTTGAGTTTCAACAATAAATTGCTTCCAGGATATACTACTAGAAATTCTACATTAGACAACGCTTATTTAACGACGTTTTGAGAAAAACCGTCATCTAATGCGGTGAAAAAAAAGGAAACACGAAATGAAGATTTCCGTGTTTCAAAAATTCGTACAATACATTAGACGATGGTTTCTTAAAATACTGTTGTTAAATGTTAGACAGTAGACGATGGTTTCTAAAAACCATCGTCTAATGTATAAGAGAAAAATGAAACAAAAAAATGCAAGCACATTAGACGACGGTTTTCTTAAAACCGACATCTAATGTCAACATTTCACAAAAAAAAAAAAAAGCAGACTTTTTCCCGTTTATCTGTTTCACTTAAATTTCAAGCCTTTCTCTTTCACTTCTATAATTCCGAGCACTCTCTTCTATTTTTCTCTCCCTCTTATTTCCAAACTCTAAATATTTCTCTCCAATATCTCTCTCTCTTCCCCACTTCCCATTCTCTCTGTCTCTCTCTCATTCTTTCTCTAATTCATACTCCTCCAAAACCTTAATATTTTTCTCCTAAATCCCTCTATCTCTTTCTTAATAACAATTCTCACCAGTGTCGCCCCATGACTCAACGACCGTGCTTACTGCCGTTGCTTCACCTCCTTTCCATGTTTTCCAACATCAACCACCGGAATCCGAAAACTTTAGGATTTTTGGGGTTTGTTAGCTTTGATTTTCTCTTTCGCATTTCAATTTTTTGTTTGAATTCTTATATGTGTTTTTCTTTTATATTTAAATATTTTGTGTTAGTTAGATTCGTATTATTTATACATTGGTGATGAATGTTATGAACAAAAGGATTTGTAGTCTTTTTTATACGTTGTTATTTTTCTTTTACGCATAAGCTCTAAAAATCAAAATTACATAGTGGCCTCCTTAAATAATCAAACTCCTAGATCCGGAAAAGATCTAGAATCTACCCACTTGATCTAGGTTGAGATTGATCGTCATCTCCATTTGAATTTGAATTTCAGTTGGTCAAAGTCTTCAAATTTATCTTTTTTAGAAATTCCAGCTGTCTTCAAAAATTTTCGTACAAACAAGACTTCGAACCTTCGCATTGTTAGATAGACATATTGTTTTCTGGCCTGTTCATGTATCGAAGACACTTAAAACAGACTAAACATGATCTGTTAGTTCAAATTCTTATGTTATTTAAATTTAAACTAAATTTGAATTGGATCTGGAAAATGATAATCACTAGAAAACTTTCTCAAGAAGTAGAATAAACCTAAGATGAATCTAAACACATTTAAGCACAAGGATGAAAGCCACAAGATTTTAATTAGTGATGAACATACAAATTAAATAGATAAGTATACGATTTAAAATCTAAAACTTAAATTAAGATCTAAACTTATTCCACACGAAATCTGCACAAAATCTCTAATTCAGAACCTAAATAATTAAGAGATAAAACACTCATAATTTAAACTTAAAAAGCACAAGTTTATCTACAAAACAAGTAAAAATCAGCATAAATTTAATTAAACGATTTTATCCAAAGTTGCCAAGAAAATATACATTGGAACAAAATTCCTAACAGAAAAATACAATTGTATTGAGAAGCCATCAGCAGCACTGCGGGGAGGGGAATAAGTCTCCTTGCAATGTTTTTGTTCTCTGTTTTGCCTCCTCGATGCTGCTTTTTTCTCTCCATTTTATAGATGTGCGCTATATCAAATACTTTAGCAGGACGCGTTCTCTTGGTCAAACAACAGCCAATAAAGTGCAAGCACGAAATCGAAGACGAGTTGTTCATGAATCTAAAAGTGATGATTTTCTTAGGGAGGTAATATCCACTTTCCTTGGCATGCTTTATAGGATGTTATTTTTATACAAATTATGTTCAACGTAAAAAATAAATATTTTACCTTTTAACGAAATCAATAACTATATATATATATATATATATATATATATATATATATATAGGGAGAGAGAGAGAGAGAGAGAGTGTGAGTGAGTGAGAGGAATATCACTTGCGTTAATGGCAACACAACTCAAACCACATAAAAAAATTGGAATATTAAAGGAAGCACATTCTTTACAACCGACATTTTACAAGGTGATAAACACACACAGCAAACTAGTATTTGATATGCAAGGAAATGAATAGACGATGACATTTTTAGTTAGATGCACACACCATGTCACTGAGACGAAAAAGGTAAAAAAGAAAAAAATGGTTAAAAAGGTAATTTAGATTCAGCTGTACAAGAAAACTTATGTAGGGTTGTTTATTCTTCAATTTTGAGCCAATCCTATTTCACAAACTCGACGGCTAGCTTCCGCATCTTCGTTGCTCTTTGCCCGATTCCGAGATGTACTCCTGGATTTTATGTTTGACAACAAAAGGAATCCGCTTAATTATAAGGCACGAAAGGAGATCTATCCTTCGATGTCACACAAAAAAGAAAACAAAACTGACTGCATCCATGTATATTAAAAAATTCAAAATTTGAATTTTTTTTATTAACACAGAAATTTTGATACTAATTAAGAAAGAAGCCACTGAAACGGGTGTTTTCCTGTTACAATGCTAATTTTTATAACGACTGTTCCGTCGTAAACAAAAAAATTAAGTACTACATATGTGTGCTATACATATGCACGTCAATCATTTATGCATTCGAAACTATGTTTGAGTATCGGAAATAAATCAATTGAGAGATAAATTATTGAGATGGAAAATCTAAGACGGAATTAATACTCCAATTAAAAGGTTAGAAAGAGTAACACTCATCGTAGAGACCTTATTAGAGTTCATGGAAGGCGGAGAAGCCTCACCTGGCCGGTGTTCTCAGGGCTTGGACAAAGTCCTTAGCGTTCAGATGATCCCACTTCAAACATTCCCACTTGACTTTACGAATGGACACACGTTGCAGAGAAGGAGGACATGGTTCTCTGTCAAGAATAGAGAGCCTTTTCAACTTTGGACAAACCTCTATTAATATTCCTTGCAAGGAATCAGCAACGATCGGTATGCTCTCCAATTGAGGTAGCTTCGACAACCGTAATTCCCTAAGTTTAGGGAGAGTCAGAATATTGACACCGCGATGGTCGCATTCTCCTTCATCGCCATCATCATCATCGGAACTGGTTGATATTATTTCTTTCAGCTGCTTACATCTTTCAAGATAAAGTTCTTCCAAATTTGGGAGTGAATCCACCATAAATACTTTCTTTATTTTGTCACATTCACAGATTTTCAAGTGAATAAGAGAGGAAAAGGTTCCGGATGGGAATGGTGACATTGAAGCTCCTCTTTCCCACCGGATCAACCCGCGCAAGTTGGGCAGCTCTATAAGAACAAGTTCTTTGAGGCTTTGAAGGAGAGGAAAGATGCAAGGTGAATCGGAAAACACATGCTCCATCTGACTACAGGCCGATCTAATGATGCACTTACTCAACTTAGTTGCATTCTTAAACGATGTGAGTTCGCATAAATTACGTACGCTAATGGCACAAACCTGAATAAGTAGGACCTCAACGTCTTTAGGGAGTAATAGTTGGCATTCTCCATCTGCTGCAACCCTCCCAAGTATGTCATAAGTTTTTTCGGCGACCTTAAACCAGTTCCCAATTGAAGTTTGTATGAGGCAGCTCCTGAGTGCTCAAGAGATCTTACACATGTATTAAAACTATTGATGTCATATAATACACCTTCAAAAGTCTCTAGCTTTCTCATATTTTCCAACTCCCATCCTCTTACTTCTGGTCCTATTTTCCAGCCACCATTAAGTGAGAGGTATTGGAGGTTAGTGAGCTTGAATAAAATCCCTTCAGGTATTATCTTTATGTTTGTATCACCGAAATCCATGTATCGAAGTTCAAGTAACATCTCCATCCCTTGGGGAACTTGATTTATGGCTGACGCCTTTAAGTCCAACTTCCTAAAATTCGTGAGTTTTGCTAAAGATGGAACATATCTACATCTTTGACAGTATCTAAGGAACAATGCAGTCAGAGTCACTAAGTCGGATACTGAATCTGGAAGATTCTGAAGCGACTTATTGTTAGATAGATCAAGAACACTTAGCTTCTTCATATTAAGAAAAAAATGATCTGGAATGCTACCTAAAAAAGGGTTTCTTGACATTAAAAATGTCGAAAGGTTAGCACAGTTTGGCGCTTCAATACTGGAAGGAATATCCCGTATATGATTGTCATTCAAAGAAGCCCTTACAAGGTCCACTTTCCAAAATTCTTCTTCTGGTATGGATTTCAATCCTACACCTGCTTTTACCAAAAATCGTGGGCTCTCACATGTAATTTGTAGTGCCATATGTTTGACCATATCATGCATCTTCACGCATTTGTTACCTTTAGAATCAATTGTATCATGCAATAAGCATACATTAACAAGTCTGTCTAGAATTACCCGACCCCTTCTAATCTGTGACTGCCTCGTCTCTCTCTCCACCACCAATTGTTCTGTCACATAATTTCTGTCGATCGGATAGTCTTCAGAGTATAATGCACAATACAAAAGACAATCTTGAAGTCTCTTATCATTCAACCGATCATAACTATACTTCAACCTTTCAAATATTCCATCATATTTAGACCCCTTTGTACATTCTCTCAAATCTTCTAATGCAATCTCCCACTCATCAAGTCGAGCATTGCCTTTCAATCTTGCCGCTATTGTAACAACTGCAAGAGGCAAACGTGCACATTCTCGAACAACTTCCTTCAAACTCACTTCCAAATTTGGGTCAGACATGACGTTGCAGCCAACTATAGATTGGAAAAGGCTCAACGCCTCCTCTTCTAATAGAAGCTCCATTTGGATTGCTTTACAATCCATGCCGCGACAAACATCAAGAGCACGTGTTGTGACGATTAATTTGCATCCATTTTGGGAAGTAGGCTCGAGAATTCCAACATCTTCAAGAGAATAACGTTCCCACAAATCATCAAGAATGAGTACATACCTCTTTCTTGTACCAAGTCTTGCATATAGCTTTGCTGCCCTTGTTTTTTGATCATTATCATTTGAAATATCTAAACCCAACTTGCGTGCAATTGTATCTTGTAAATTCCACACACTGGAATCCTTTGATACAGTCACCCAAATCACACTGTCAAACTTATCCTTTTGTTCTTTTAAAAGACGGTTGTTGATTTGTTCAAGGGCAGTTGTTTTACCAATCCCACCGATGCCACAAACTCCAATCTTTGCAACTTTATCATCAAACAAACTAGCCCAAATCTCCTCGACTTTTCTTTGGAATGTAGTTTCTCCTCCCAATGTTGTTGTGGTCGGTAATAAATCTCCACGTTTTGTAATTGATAAAGCCAGGCCTTCCGGAAATGTGCCTTTTTCACGAAGTTCGTCCACCTCCACCATCTTTTGCGTAACATTTTTCGCGAGACCAGCACGAGAAAAGAATTTTGCTTTTCTTACTCTTACTTCAATATCATTTACTTCTTCATTAATCATTTCCACACGTCTCAACCAAGTTTCAACTTCGCTCCTCAACTCTATTTCTCCTTCCTCACTCTCCTTGTCTAGTGTTGATTTTATGTCATTCCTTCGACAATTCAAGTCTTCCAATCGCTGCTTGAGAGTGTCCATGCTCCTGTAGACATCTCTATGATCTTTCCAGCGTTGGGAAATTGAAGGTGACATACATTCCATAAGTTGGACAACAACTCCTACTATCTCCATTATTGACTGCTTGTCCCTACAAATGAAAAGAAATTGATCAGCATTCCACAATTCTATCCTCTCTATGAAGTACTAAGAATGTAAATGTGGTAACTTAATACCAGTAAGATAACATAAATTTAAGTCAAAATTTCAAATGTTTCAAAGATAACCCGGTTTCTGAAATACATTCACTGCTAAATATGGATAATGAATTCTGTAAGCGATTGATGAGTGGTGGTGGTTAATAAAATAAGTTAGGATCAGCTCGTACAATTTTAGACAGGATAATGGGTACTGAATTTCTAAGTAATTGATCGTGAGTATTAATGGTTTGTTGAGCAAGTCAAGTTTATTTTGGATATGAAAAAAATGAGAAATTTGCTAGAATGACTATCCAACAAAGTGAAATTAGTAAAATGACTTTCATTTTTTATGAAGAACGACAAACCAATCGTTCTTTGTAAAAAGTGGTCGTTCTTGGTCGTTCTGTAGTTATTTTACCAATAAAAATTTTAAAAAAATTATTTTACTAATAAAACTTTTCTATTGAGTCATTTTTACAAAAGCTTCGGGAAAAACCTTAAAATGCAAAATGATGAAAGAGTTTTGCACATTTCTCTAATAACTAATACAAAAAGAAAATTTTACGACCGTTAAAAATGTTACGACGTCACAATTGATCTTTTTAGTTTTCTTTGATGTTAATTCAGCCAAAAAAAAAAATCAGGTTAACCCCATTGTTAGCATTTAATGATTACAAAATTGTTAGCTAAAATCTAAGTAAAATTTTATTTAGAGCTAGGCTGAATTTTTGTTACAAGTATTTCATTTCGAAATTTTTTAAAAACACAGAAACTTTTATTTTATATTTATTTTTAGTTTGTTTCTTTTATTTAAGGTCGAGAAAATACAACCGGCTGGTTCTTTTAGAGTAAAACTCAAAAAAAGTTTGAATTCAAGTTACAACAATTCAAGTTACAACTTTATTCAAGTTTATGTTCGTTTGTAAAATTTGAGTTTGAACTTGAGTTTGAACTCGAGTTTTAACTTGAGTTTGAGACTAAACTCTGAGTTCAAGTTTCTCCTTTAACTCAAGTTCTTAAATTCAAACTCAAGTTAATTAACAATATTTTTTATATTCTTAAAAACATCATAACTTTTTCGTTTTAATTTCGATTGAGATGATTTTTTTCTATGCGTTCACAACGAAGAGACAAATAAAACTCCACCTATATACCCTATTAAATTTTTTTATCACTATTGAGTTTTTATTAAAATACTATGTAAATACAAATTTAAATTTTGACCTACTCAAACACAAACTCAAATAGATTCTCAATTCAAATCACAACTCAAATGTGCACATCTAAATACAAACTGAAATTACAACTTCAACTTAAATTATAACTTAAATTCAACTCAAAATCTATACTCAAGTTACTACAACTCAAAAATACAACCGAACAAGCCTAACAAATAACACATTTCATTTCCAATTTTACCCTGTAAGTTTTCTTCTTTCTTTCACTCTCACATTTTTGCTTTCAGATCTCCTCTCTACTGTCTCTCTCTGCAGCCTCTCTATTTTGTTTCTCTCTCAAACCCCATCCAACCATGACCAGCATTGGCGGTGGCTCTGCGATTCCGGCAAGCTTCATTCTCAATCTCAAACCAAATCCAGCGAGGTTCCTTCACCATTCCGGTCTGGAGCTCGATTCCCTTTCCGGCGTCGATCTCGAGTCATAGATCCGAAGAAGATAAGTCCACTACCGTGAAAAACAGTTGCTCATCGCTGTCATCTCTTCCACGGTGGCGCTCGCGAGAACGGGTCAGAGAAGAGCAGTCCACCGCCGGAGATGATAAATCCGTCACGAACTGCTAGCGATTCATAGATCCGGCGAAAAGAAACTCCGACCTCACAGATCTAGCAAAGAGAGAAGTCTGACCTCACGATGGTCAGAGATCCGGCGAAGAGAGAACTCCGACCTCAACTTCTGAGGAATAACTACTCGCGAACCAGATTCCATCACGAACCACATCCAAACCAGAACTACGGTGTCGAAGGCGGGGGAGATCGATGGAGTGACGACGACGCGAAGCTACTGTCGTTAAGGTTGCTAGTCTGTCCTCTTTCTCGTTTAGTTTTGTATGTGTTTCTGAATCATTTTTGGGCAGGTTTATAGTTTTGGCAAGTGATGTTTGTTTGGAATTGGGAATTATTTTTAGATTTGAAGTTTTGTGTCTGATTTCAAAGGTTCTATGAGTTCGTGATTTCCAGATTTTCATATGAGTTCGGGATTAATTTTTTTTAGAACCGAATTTGTTATTTTCAGAATTAAAATACAAAAAGTTTGTGTTTGGAATGTGGTAAATAAACCAGTAAATATTTTAGTAACTTGCAAGATTGCATATAGTAAATATTCTATATACCTGATCATAGTAGTTACAAATTTGAATTTGGTAAATATTATATTTATCTGTAAACACTTTAGTAATTACAATTTTAAATATGATAAATGTTGACGGTAGAAATTCATTAAAAGAAATAAATCAGATTTTAACGTGATTAATGCATTGAGAGTGATTGAAAATAAGATTAAAAAGAAGAATTAACAATATGAACACTCAGATTTATAGTGGTTTACCATTTTGTTCAAGAGCAACGTCCACTGTGAGAAGAAGAGAAATTCACTATTTTTTAGAAAAATACGTTACAAACTAAGTTTGGAGTTTGACTTCTATATATAAACATCCTCTGCAATCTCTGTAATTCTCCTTATTTTATTTCAGGATATTTTCCCTACATTTTTGGATAACATCCTCAGTTGGTTGGGATTTTTGCTAGTCAGCTGGATTTTCTCATTTACTTCTCCATTGACTTCGCTTATTTTAGTTACAAGTCACAAATCTTGGGTCAAATCTCATGTCTCTCCCGATCTACATGAGCTCGACTCCATAGACGTTCTTAGAGCCTCCTCCGCTTACAACTATGAGTGCGGTCGACCTCCCACTTTCCTCCACTCCTCGGAGTGATCGACTGTCTTTGTACGCTATTCCTTTCACTTGCCTTCTACTCCTTAGAAGGGCATTGTTTGACGTGGCAATTAGGGGCTGAATTGTCTCCGGTCACTTAATGTCTTCATTTGTGATGCATGCGCCCTATTTAATGCCCAGCTCATGGATTGGAATTTTTACCCTACAACATTTACCCCTCAAATCGAGGCATTCATTTGTGTTGCCTCGAGCTTTAATTAGGTAGGGCGCATGCGTTAACTTTCCTCCCATGGTCTTGCTTCTTCAAGAAGGATTCCAACCCTTAGGCTTCCTAGGTAACGATGACTCTGACACAGAAGCTGCCTTTTTGGCTAGGCAACAGTCGCGTCGGTCAAGTTCTCCCGCCAGACATCGCTTCACTTATTTTAAACAGGTGAATCTGGACTGTTTGATCGTATCTTTTCTGTTTCTAGCTCTTACCTCACCTTCAGATCTCAATTCTTCATCTCTTCCACTGGATGAGCAATGATTTCATCCGACGGTCATAAGGCGAGGCTTCATTTCCTTTATAAGGCGATCCCCAAGCGAGGCTTTACCCATCAAATTTGTGAAAAACCACCAAAGCTCTACCAAAATCTCCTCAGAACCTTTAAGCCTCTCTCTCAATGGTGCTTTGCAAGGATTTCTTCTACAAAGCTTCATATTCCACTTCCGCCAAATCTTCTGGTGAGTTTTTCTTCATCACTCTTGTTTTTGTATTTGTTGTATTGGATTTCCTATTCCTGGTTCTCTTTGTTGCCTGTTTAGAACTATTTCTGCGTGAAAATGGCTAGGAATTGGACAGTAGGGATCAGAAAACTTAGGTTGTGTTTGGTTTCTGGGTTCAGAATCATGATTCATGATTTTCATTTTTGAAATTTAAATTTGTTATGAGAAAAAAACATTGTTCAGAACCAGGGATGAACTCTTGAAACAAACGTTGTATTAGTGTTAGTACTTTTAGGCTGTTCTGAGTGAGTTTCCCGAGATTTTAAGTAAGTTTGTGGAACTTTGAATTCTGAATTTCTACTGGGTTTCTAGACCATTATGAGTCTTCGTCGCTATGTTTGACTATTCGTCCATCTAGCTCATCTTAAACATTCGTCGTTTAAATGAATACTCGACACTGTAACTATGATAGTTTAAAGGTGTACAAGGATGGACGCGCTGATGGGAGATGGTTCAAGTACCTTCTCTCTGATGTAAACTTTAGGGCGAGCATTCCCCGGCCCAGGTATCTCTCTGTCTATACCCGCACATTCACCGTAGGGATGACCCTTCTCTTTCATCCCTTTATGAAGGATTTTTGTCATCTGCATGATATCTCCCCAACTCAGCTGGCGCCCAACTTCATGTATTGCTTCACCGGGATGTGGGTCCTGTGGAACCAGTGGTTTGACATAGAGTTGCCGTTGGACGAGTTCTTATATGTATATAAATTGAGCCACGTCGCACGTAGTGAAGGTTGGTATTTTTTAGGTAGTCGTGGGAGATCTAAAACCATGTTAGGTACATTAATATAGGGGTACCCTCATCCTCCCATACCTAGAAGCCGATGTTTTTTTTATGGTTTATGGTCAAGGGTAAATTCGACATACACCCCGTTGACCGTAGGCCGAAGCATCTAGGGATCCAAACTTCTTTTGAGAGATTAAGTGAACGTTCTATCAGCTATACTCCCTGTGCCTTTCATTCGTGTTATCATGTGGTGTTGACCCTTATCCGTTTTCCTTTTGTACAAAATCCCATGATCGTCCCAAACTCTTTGGTAATAAGAAAGGGAGGGTTTTCTCGGCATTTCAATTCTCTTAGAGTGACTGTCACATCGTCACTGAAAATAATCTCAAATAGTCAGGCCTTCTACTCACCCTTTCAAACTCCAAGGATCCCCTCGCTGTTCAAGAATTTTTTAATTTGAGCACCGAATGTATGTTTTCTTATTTTAACTTTCAAATTCTGTGTGCTCAACTCTTTCTGCTTTGCTACATTTTTGGCTTGTGTCTCAGAGATGGAAGTACTCAATCTCGACCTTCCTGACATTCCCAATCGAAGGCCAACCGCACCTCTGAAGAGTAGTAAGAAGAAGGGGGAGGCTTCAACTTTTGGGTCTTAGAGATGGGCTTCCCCACCCGAAGCTAGGGCACCGAGGCCCAAGAAGAGGAGGACAAATAAGGACTCATTGGCTACAACTTCTACTGTGGACGTCCATGATGTCCCACCAAGGCCAGCGGCTAAAGACCGTCTCCTTCCTCTCCGGTTCTCTATCGTCTTCCAGGCTTTGTATGAATCATTTTTTGACAAAGACTGGGTTGCTACTGTTGCTTCCCCATTTCTTGAGCATCAGTGAAAGCAAATCTCTCTCAAGATCCATGAAAGCTTTGACTCCTAATCATGTTATGTTTTCGCTTTAAACTTCTCCCTAATTTTTACCATCATCCTTGTAGGCTCTCGTACTTCCCTTCTCAACTTCATCGCCTCCGTGCAAGTCAATGAGCGAAGCAAGGATATGGACCAAATTGAGTTGAGCCTCTAGGCTCTCTTCAACTCCGTGAAGCTTAATGCCGAGATCGCTCGGAAGGAGAAGGACCAAGCCAAGGAAGCCTATGAGGCTAAGGTAAGAAAGGTTGAAGAGTTTCAGTAGCAGATCAGGGAGCTCAAAGCCCAAATGGTTTAAGCCAAAGACAATGGGTCGCCGGCTCAAATATTATCTTCAATGGAATGTACATTTTATTCCTTTTACTTGTCTTCCTATAAATTTCATTTTATGAATGGTCGAGTGCATCTTTACACTTCTTGTTGTTGTGTTTTTGTTTTTGTTGGCCTTTTTTCTTTGGGAGTTCTTTTGGCCTTCAATGCCCCTTTGGGCTTTAAACTTAGTAGATTGAAATCTACTAAGTGTAACCGCCTCTCCTCCTCAGAGGATTTGGCGGTATAAGTTCTTTGAACTTATTAACTTCTAATGCGCCTTGGGGCTTTGCACTTTGTAGATTAGAATCTACCAAGTGTAATTGCCTCTCCTCCTTGGAGGATTCAGCGGTATAAGTTCTTTGAACTTATAAACTTTCAATGCCTCTTGGGGCTTTACACTTGCTAGATTAAGTATAACTGCCTCTCCTCCTTAGAGAATTCGGTGGTATAAGTTCTTTGAACTTATAAACTTCCAATGCTCCTTGGGGCTTTGCACTTCATAGAATAGAATCTACCAAGTGTAACTGCCTCTCCTCCTTGGAGGATTCTGCGGTACAAGTTCTTTGAACTTATAAACTTCCAATGCCCCTTGGGGCGTTGCACTTATAGATTAAGTGCTGATGTCTCTCCTCCTTGGAGGATTCGGCGGTATAAGTTCTTTGAACTTATAAACTTCCAATGCCCCTTAGGGCTTTCCACTTCGTCGATTAGAATCTACCAAGTGTAACTGCCTCTCCTCCTTGGAGTATTTGGCGTTACCAATTCTTTGAAATTTCTTTTGCTGAGCGCGTTAAGCGCGGAACGTAGATAGTAGACACTTTGAGCGTAGACCGTTTGTTTTTTCTTTTAAAATTGTTGAATGTAACGTGGTCCGTAGACCCCTTCTTACCCCACATGTTTGGTTAACACCTTAGTTTTTAAGAAGACATGTTTATTTAAGGTCGTCCTCTTTGAGGAACTGTAGAATAAAAATGTAG